TGAATACCGAATGGGTGCGGTTTGGATCGTGGGTTAACCCAGAAAGACAAAGACAATGTTTTGAGCAGCGTAGACACTAACACACCGTTTGGTATAAATGAATTCCAAAAGTTTTGATGAATTAATTTTCTGTTTGGTATTTAAAAGAATTCATTTTCAATTCTAAATTTTGAATTCTATGGAATTTGAACTTGTTATAGCAATTTCCGAGGAATTGAGATGGAATTTCCAAATGAATTCCACAAGTATTAACGAATTATAATAGAATACTATAATTATCCTCTTTTATTTGCAAAATTACTTATACATATGACATACCAAACAAAAGAATTCATTTGACAATGAATTATACAGGACAATTCATTTTATTTCTAAAGATTTGAATATGGCATACCAAACACAAGATTTCATTTAACAATGAATTCTACATCGTAATTAATTTTACAATGAAATGAATTGTCGATTCATATGGTACCAACCGGTCTGTAAAGGTGTATTATAAAATTATTTATGAATATGAAAACACAACAATTTCCCGTCCCTTTCCCTCTGTTCTAGAACAAACTGAGGTTTCTGAAGAACCCTAAAACAAATTAAGTACGCAAAATATTAAATACTCATTCTCAACACACCCCAATTCACAGCACCTACCCGCGATCACACCCTCTATCCCACATACCAAGATTTTCGTGATCCTAACGTTAAATCCCTCAAATAACTCGCGAACCAAGACTTTATCAGTACTACATATTAATCCGCAATTAAGAGTTACAAGACCAATGACCAAAACCTAGTTATTTTCGCGGGAAAACCCAGAAACACACGCCAAAAGATCCTTCCACCCTTCCTAGAATAATAGTATAAATACTTCATTTTAGGTGAAGAGGTAACTAGCATACGGTATCCTTCCTTTGCGTCATTTTGCTTGCAGAAGATCAATCTTATAGAGGAAGGCCTACGTTTCACTTACCGGAGCACATAAATCCTCCACTTTTTGGGAACCTACCAACATGGATAAGGCCGCGAAATCTACATCACGATCGAATCCTTTGTCGTCTAAGCATCCGATTAGTTAAAGTTGCATCTAATCTTCTATTTAAGTTTTTGAGCTACTTAATTCTTATACAAGTATACGACTATATTCTCTGTTTGCAGTCACCGACGAAATATGTATCTCCGGTGAAGAGAGCCAGACTTGAGGAGGTTGTACTCGGCCCATCCATGCCTGGCGCTGACTTCATCATTATTACCGACGACGACGAACCAGAGGTGATTCAAGAGCCTAGTGGAAAAGGCAAATCCCAAACCGGATTAAACAAGGATGTAGAGAGCAAGGTAATTATCATTTTTTTATGTCTCGATCACAACGTTTTTTTTTTTAGAGATATTCATCCGGTTACCCTTGTTTTCACATGCCGTTCTGAAATTCAAGCTCTCGGTGCATGTTGACTACAATGACGAGGAGGTCAATGTAGCGCATTTCATTTTTCTATCCAGTCTACCACGAGACGATATATTGGTACAAACCTTCCACAACACGTTGACCAGGAAGGTTTTGTGGACCTTATGTCCCCACTCGTTTGTGGATGGTGAGGTAAGTTATTATGCGAGCAACAACATTTGCTAATTCGTTTGTACCATTTACGTAGGAAATTAATTGGTTTATTCTCCTTTGTTTCATAGATTATTACGGCTGTGTCCGCGCTCTCTCAACCGTGGAACAACTGTGGTTGGATCACGATCGAATATAAGGAATATGCTTCTTGCCAGCTGACCTTCAGGTACAATAGGAGTAATGTTGTAATGGTTACTTATGACTGTCCACTTTTGTTCTACTTGGTCAGGTTTTCGGTATGCTTTGAGTACGTTCTAGTGTTATTTCTCTGCCTTATGGCTTACAACCTATTTGCTTTGAATTTAATACAACTTTCATCTGACTTTGAGACATGTTAATTATTTGACGTATGAGTAGGAGCATGCTACCTTTTATGGATTGACACCGAAGAAGGCGTTAAAGCTGTATGATAGCACCGAAGAAGGCATTAAAGCTGTATGCTAGCAGACATGATCGAGAAGGTGGTTTCTTTTTATTTCTTGGTCTCTGTTGAATGCCTAGTGTACCAATATGTATTGGTTGAATTAAGCATCGAATGTTTGGTCATGTGTAGATAGTTCTTCCGATGAGGGAAAGGCTACCTGGTGGGAAGCTGCACTGGTATCTAGCTGTCATTTTCATCAAGGAGCAGGAAGTCCACATCCTTGATCCAAGTCAATATGAGGAGCGGAAGGTAGTACGTCAGAAAGCTGTCCAAAGAATGGTGGAGTTATTAAATTGTGTGTGGTTCTTATGCAATCATCCATATGTGTCCGTGTTTTTCATTACCAACGTTTCTTCAATTGTGTAGATGGTCTTTTTGGAAAGCATGTGGCAGGTTCTGTATGACTCCCTCTCACTATCATAATAAAATCTCACCTAAGGTCCAAGTATAAATCTTTGACGGGTGCAATATAGGGAAAGTATGTTTAAATATTGATTCGGGCCGGTCCATGTACCGCTACTTCAACTGTTTGAAAGATTATCTAGCGGATCGGTTTTGGTGAAAATAAAGGTTGAAAACTAAATTACTTTGCAAAGGTAAAATGGATTTGACTCTAGTTGAGAAATTATGACTCGAAGAATCAAACGACCGTGTGTGGTTAGGGGTCATAAACCACAAGGAAGTCTAACAAGCAACCAAATTACCCTCTTAGACTCTAGGTTGAGTAATGGGATACGATCCAAGCCACTGATGTGACCCTCTCCACCTATCGACTAAGGAATGATTAGACTTCACCCTCGAATTGGAGTTCAGACGGCCACCCACAACCAAACCCAAAGTGTTTAATACAAATTAGTAGTTTTGCCCTTTAACTAACCTAGACCAGGAGGCATAGAATGACCAAGGAAACCCATCTCTAGTAGAGCCTCTTGAGTTAAGGAGGGTTCTCTCTAGCCTAGCTTAGGAAGCGTTGAATGCCCAAGGAAACCCATCTCAAAATTAGCCTCTTAGGTTAAGGAGGGTCCTCTCTAAACTAGTTTAGGAGGCTTTGAATGCCAAGGAAACCAAACCTCTTGGGTGAAGGAGGTTTCCTCTCTAAAGTAGCCTAAGAGGCATGAAATGCCCAAGAACCCCATCTCGATAATGAACCTCTTAACCTAAGGAGGTTTCCTCTCTAAACTAGTTTAGGAGGCTTGAAATGCCCAAGAACACCCAATGAAACTCCTAACCTAAGGAGGTCCCCTCTCTAATCTAGGTTAAATTGGAAATTAGATTGATAGGCTTTCAAACAACACAATCATTTCTGAATAATACCCCCACATTCACATTAAAACACAACCACACACAAATCATTCAATTCATACAAGCATTCACATAATTGTAGCTAGGATTTACAAACACCCAAGTGAAATAAGGGACTACTCCATGCTAGGAGAAGGGTAAACACAAAAGAGGGAAAGGAAAACCATCATGAAGATGCAAGCCTTGCTCCTTATGCTGAAGAAAACCCAAATCCTTGCTTGGAGATCAAACCCTAGCTTTTCTTCTTCTTTGGTTCGTCACTTTCTCACTCTAAAATCTGAAGAAAGAGAAGTATTTCTCACTCTAGGTCTCTCTCCCCTCTTCTCCTTCCATTCAGCTTTCCTCTTGAGTGGGAGATCACGCTAAGTTCACGGCCGTGAACATTGAAACGCGCCCGTGAACTCAATGCGGCGACCAAAACGCATTGCTTCATTTGCTTGGGTTTACGGTCAGTGGCCCCTGTTCATGGTCTTAGCGACCATGAACTACCTGGGTGCCAGTAACTTGAAAACCCCCTCTGTTTGCTCCTAGCTTCACGGGTCATGGCTCCAGTTCACTTTCATGTAAGACCATGACCTCCAACGTCTGGCCGTGAACTGTAGTTGTCTCCACCTCTTTGCCCGGTCATTGCTCCTTTTCTTTCAACTTCCAACTTCGGGTTTGGTTTTACCTATTAGGAACTAAAATACACTGAAACACAATCAACCTCGCGTAAAACCAACCTTTTTGGAGTTCAATTGCAACAAACGTCAAAGATAATCGGGAGTAAAAAGTGTACAATTAGGCCCGAATCACTCCCCACACTTAGATTCCAAGCAAACCATTTCACACAAGGTAATCTCTCAACCTATAAAAATGTTTTGGGGAAAAATCAAAGGGCACAAAGTGGCGAATCTCAATGGCAATTGGCACTTAACACATGGACCATTGCAAGCAATACCAACATCCACCACAAACGACATTCGAGGTCACCAAAAACGGCCAAACAAAAAGTTCTCACCTTGTTCATGAATCAATGCAAGTCTCAACAAGGTCACTTATAAACCACAACTAACCATGCATAACATTCAAGTCCAAGGAAAGAACGAAGGGGCAACAAAGGTCCCCACCGGTGTATGATATGACATGCAAAGCAAGAATGAATCACTCAATCTCTTGACCAGTGGGGTCGAGACCTTTTTGGTGAAAAGAATGTGCACAATCATCAACACTCGGTCATATCGTCTCTTCACCACTGCGGCAGCCTCTAAAGGTTAGAGTTCACGGGATGGTTGTCATCACTAGTTTGTCCGAAGGTCTTAGACAAGGGTTCTAATGACTGGCAATTGTCTTGGACATGGGGAAAAGGCATTTTGGTTGGGGGTAAACACATCATGAGGACCTACATCTTCACCCTAAACCCAAAGGTTCTATGGTTTCGACTAAGAACCTTCCTTACAAACAACGGCCCCTGGCATTGCCCAAAAACCTTGCTTCTCCCTTCCAACCGATCACCCGTCATGAACTACCTTTAAGAGCTCTTCCTCAGTCTTTCTTGCTATCACATTTTGATTTGGTAGTGAAGGAGTTCTAAAACACTATTGTGGGGGTTTTCATGGCTTGCATGCCAAGAAACCCCACTTAGAGCATACTCTTCTAATCTTTTGTGACACTCTCTACTTTATTGACCCCGTTTTATTAGCTCTTTTTTGTTTCTCTTTTCTTTTTCTTTCTTTCTACTTTCCTTTTCTCTTTTTCTGTTCTTTTTGAGGAGGGGGGGGGGGGGTACCTTCTCCTTTAAGAACTCACTCCAACACTACTCTTTTCTCTTTCATTCCTAGCAAGAACCGCGCACAATCCTCCTATGTAGAACCTCAATGGAACTCAAAAGCTAGAGCTTCGGGACACAAGGACAACACACGTATAGACACAAAGAAAGGATGGGGGGTCATTCTATCAAGAACCATTAAACTCACAAGCACAAAGCTCCTAATCATGAGAACGACCCTCAAAGTCACAAGTCTCAAAGGGGTTGACTAGGGGATAAAACATTTCGGGAGAATCAAAATTTGGGTGTGGACTAATCCTATGCCTCCATCATAATCACTAATGACAACCTTGATGTTACTCGCCATGGTAAGATGGATTTAAGCACACAAGAATAAAACGATTGACTCAAAACTCACATGGGTACCTAGTCACCCAATCATTCATTCCACTTTCACAAAACACAATGCATGGCAATTGTAATAAACAAGTAACCGAGTCAAGACATCCATTCACTTTTGCACACATGAGAACTAAAATTTTGCACTATCATATTTCACCTTTGAGTCATCATCATTGGACACACTCGATCACATGCAATAATTCAGGGTCAATGCCAATAAACATGAGATTCTCCTACAAACCGGCTACTTTGATCATGCAAACATTGCTTGGAGCCCTCGAAATTTTTCAAATTTGGGCATACATCAAGGTTCCAAGCATCAATCACACTCATACAAGCATAAGAATTAACTACCCCCCACCCCCACCCACACACACACTTAAGTTCGACATTGGCCTCAATGGCGTAAGATAGGGGTAGATCGAGTGTTACCGCTTTACTTGGTGAGTGAAAGTTAGAATTGGTCCCCAGGTAGGAGATTTAAGCTTCAAGGAGAAGACAAAACACACATATACACATACACAAACACAATACGACTCGCTCGAGGCGAGGTTATACACATCACAATACGATAGTTGTAGTTTATGATCACACACACCAAATTAAAGAAAGAAAAATAAAACAAAAGAGTTCATAGTTCCAAGTGGAGTAGTGGGGCGAAAGAAATCAGCTTTTCCACATATCTCCCCCGCCAGCTACCTCTCACAGTCTCACTAGGCCGAAGGCCTCGACTCATCATCTGGAATGAGGCTCTGGGGTCGAGCCATCTACTCAAGGAGGTCGGTCTGTCGGTCGAGTTGGGAAGTCACTCCCATGACATGGGTCTCGGGGTAATCCATCCTCTAGACGAGGGGAATACCAGCTGGTGGTGGTGGTACTGGGCGATGGAGGTGGTACCTCTGCATCTGGCTCCACTGGAGCCGGGTAAACCTCTGGTCTCATGACTCCTAAGGGTTGGAGCCCCTCAAGGTACTCCACTCCCTGCTCTCCCTAAAGCACTAGCTTCTGGTTGTAGAGAGTCGACACCAGGAATGGTCTGTGCGTTCCACGATGGAGCATCGCTCCAGATCCACCTAAAACTGGCAGGCCAGCCTTGTGATGATGCCCCCATGTGCATGGTGTCCACCCTTTTCCGCCCCAGACATCAAGCGAAAGAGGTGGCAATTAGTGATCCCAGGTGGATCGGCTCTGTTGGATGCCTCATGGAGAAGAGAGCTAGCAGCCCCCCTATTTGTGAGCAGGTGTCCCGACTACAGGGTAGGGACGATAGAGCGAGTGAGCAGGGTATGCAGGATCCTCCAAGGGGTCCGTAACTGCACCGCATTGGTGCGGCTCGCCTTAAATTCCTCGTGCTCTGGACGACTGAGGGCCCTGAATGCGGCCTGATAGTGGAAGTCGGATGTGTACTGCCGCTCCGTCATCGTCATGTACGTTGGGTCGAGCCCCATGGCCTGGGCAAATGCATCATAGGTCAGCACTCGAGGCTGACCTTCCAGCATGAACTACGCATATGCCCGGCTCATCTTGCAGGACATGACTGCATGGGCAAACGTGGAGTAGAATCCATGCAGAGCTCGTGGTAGATGAGCTCGTCAATCGAGAGAAGCAGGCGCCTTGACTCGCTATGACACAACTCCTAACAAAGGCCAAGTGTAACCAATGAAAGGACTGCAGTATAGTGGATCAAGTAATAAATATCGAATCCACGGGTCTCTAGAGTTACTATTACTTAGCTTCAGTTCATTATCTAGCAAACCATATTAAGATAGAACAACTAAAACTACTCTAGCAAACTATAGGTAAAGTTAATTTAATTACAAGTTGGGAACTCACTTAGGTATGATTCACCCTAGCCACTAGCCAGACTAATGATTAATGATCTCTAACATGTTTCACTTTCATTCACAATGCGGAGAATCCTTAACTAGCCTTGAGTCTCGACTAAAGGAAAAAGGCCTTCTTGAGTCAATTGCCTAGTGGGACGTGTCCTTCTATAGAACAACCGATCAAGGCATTCTTAACTAGACTCCCTCTATCGAATGAGGTTCTCAATCGATACAAAGCATTCAATCAACCCTCGACTAAAATAATCGATCCAATACTATCAATCTATGGTGCTTTATTGACCTAATCAGGTATTCACTCTCATAGGATCAAAGCAGAATCAATAATCTCGACTAAAGCAAAATTGAATCATGAAAACAAGCATAGATTGAATATGAACTCAAGATTATCAAGTAAGAGTACTCATACAATCATCCAATCAAACAAACATGGCTAGGGTTCCTCAAAACCTAAGTGAGGGAAGTTACTACATAGAGAAGAGAGAGACTGCAGTAAGAATCTTTAAATGATAAGTCTTCAATTCCGGGCTTGTTCCTCGCGCTTCCAAGGTGAAGACATCCCCCAATTCCACTCCAAGATTACCCTCAAATCGCCCTCTCTCTCTTTAGTTCGTCCCTTGGGTGTTTCGGATCCAAAACCCAGCTTTACCCCTCCAAAAACGCACAAAACAGACTTTTAACAGCCTGCATTCGTGAAACCCGGTCCAAATACTGGGTAGGGTATTTAGGGAACCGGTCGGGTATCGTCAAAATCCTCCGGGTCACTATTCTGGGCAAAAGGGAAAATACCCAGTCGGGTATTTTTGGTACCCGGTCCGGTATTTTTGGTTCACGACCGGGGGCCTTCTGATGATGCCAAAAATACCCTACAGATGGTCAAAAATACCTGGTCGGGTATTTTGAAATTCCGGGTACCCTATCTTTGATTCTTCGTTTCTCCCTCGTTCGGACTCCAAATCAGGTGTCGTTTGATCCCAAACTCTCTTAGTCTCGTCCTCTTTATTATCAAGACAAGCTTACATGATTCTATGGTTACAAAGTGAGGTAGAAATCCATTCTTCTTTAGGTCATGCCTGGTTTTGTTCCCGGAGTTGCCAATTGATCTCCGATTGACTTGAAACTTGTGCCTATTCTTCACTTTATGTGCTAGGACTTGAAATGTGAAAAAGGAACACAACCTAGCGTAAAATAGGCCAAAGAAGCGATAATGCAAGCAAAAATCAAGAAGCAGAGGGGAAAATATGTGCAAATATCGAGTCATAAAATTCCACGCACACTTAACCGTTTACTTGTCCCCGAGCAAACTTGACTCAAAGCAATGCAACTCTCTAGACCTTTATAGAAACACGCAACCCCAATCGTCGGTAGCAGACTTTAGATCAGTTAGCAACTTACGAGGTCAACCAGTCTTCTAAGACATCCCCTATCTCTCTTAATGCGAGTACTAGACTCAAACCAGGATCGGGAGAAGTAGTGGACCTAGGACATACAATTCATGGATAAAGAGACTAACACAACACACATAAACTTGGACTCTTGTATTGAGTGCTCTTCTCCTTTCGTTTCACTTGTTGGAACCCATATTTCTCAAATTTTTTTCTTTTTCTTTTTCTTTCATTTCATTTACTGTTGGGGTTCCAACTACAATTATGCGCGGTCGACCCTTATTGGTTGAGTAAGAGAAATTTCTGTACATCTGTAGCTCACCAGAGTACTTCTTTTAACTCCTTTCCTCAATTCGTGCGGAGGGTCAATCAAATTAAGGGAGGTCGGAAGCTCTATCCATGCCCTTAAAACACATCCTCGAGTAGGCAAACCGTTCAACGGGTGGAAATTTTACTTGTAGTAGAGACAACTTAGCTTCACCTTGTAGGAGTACCCCGCTAAGGATCACTAAAATATCTTTCAAAACCCGATTTTGTGCAATGAACGGTGCCACACACGTTGGCCTTACCCCCATGTTTAAGATTTCAAATTATTGCCATGGGGGACCAACTGCGTTTCATTAAGTACATTAAGCACCTTCTCATGATACAAAAGTCCAAACACAATGGAAGTCATCCATATCACATGAATCAAAGGTCCTAAAGCCACTAGTTCACACAATCAACCGGCACAGCAAGGAGACAGATAGGAAAAATCTTATACCTTAGCATCCTCCATAGTGCTACAACTACCTCCCTAAGTTGCATAGTACTATAAAGGCTATCAATTCAAAGCATACTGACCAGGAAATTGCAGGGAACACGTACTTGGAGCCCTCAAATTTAAAAAAAGAGGGCGGGCGGTGCATTCCAGGAGGAGAGAGTAGTCAGAACACAAACACCACAAAAAATCTCACAAAGGTTGAGTTATTGACTCTAAAATCAAAGAACAAAATTGACTCAACCGAGGAGAAATAGGTAAAGAAATGCAAACCGACTGGTAGGGTTGCCTCCCAACAAGTGCTTCTTTCACGACGTAAGCCGGACGGTGGCTCCTAAGCTTCGGTCCATCCCAAAACCTCTTTAAAGTTGAGGTTCTCATCGATGAGGTGGAATCTCAAGTCATGATCATGTGGTATGACAGGTGAGGAAGGCTCGTGCACTTGATGGAGATGAATTCTCCATCCTCGAGACCTCTTCTTCTCTTCTCTCGTCTCATTGCCCCAAACTAGATATACCTACATCTACTGACAACCATCGTATCCACCAAGAGGGACCAATGTCGATGTGGCCTTGGTCTTGCAAAGAAACACTGCAGATGGGTCGTTTTCAAGCAGCTCCTTGAAGTTTGGTGGAGATATTACTTGTAACATAGGGCTGGTGCAAGGCTCTTCCACCTCAACTTCATCCCCAGCCTGGACACCAATTGCTTCCTCAACCCCCCTTCCTTCTTCAAAATGTGGTATCACCCCTAAGGAAAGATCAAGAACTCCTTCTGCTTCACTTTTTTCATCATCCACAACTTCTTTCCGCACCATTTCTCACTCTTCTTCTTCTTACGACACGAATTGGAGAGCAAGTCGCCAAGCAATTTCTTCGATGAGATCATCTTGCATCTCCTCACTCATGCCCACCTCTTCAAAGCTCGGTGTGGGATGTGGGAAGTTGTGGTCGGCTACAACAGCACATTCCTGATCATGATCATCACAGGAGCTCTCCGTGAAAACTTTTGTATGTTCCACGATGTCCTCGTAGCCTTCGCCTTCCTCCGCCTCTTCTAGTATGGTAGTAGAAGGATGATCTTGATCAAGTTGTGAACAAACTTGCTCAACCCGCTCTGTTTGCTTTGCAGAGTGTGAAACAGTCTCCTCTGATTCGTGGAAAAAGGAAGGGCCATGAGGAGTAGCAGGCGGAACAATTGATTTGATTATAAGTTCCATCTTTGGGAAGGATCTCTCGGTGTCCCAAACATTCTGATCCATGAGAAGCCTCAATTACTAGTTGGGATCTGGCCGCAGTGTGTAGCATGACTCTGCCGAAAGGCCCGTGAAGGCCGACATGGCTAACTCCAGCTCCGATGGCCCTTCTGGCTATGGGAGGAATTCTTCTTGATAAGGAGATTGTTCTTGAAATGACCAGGGGTCTGATTGTTCTTCATAGTAGGAGGGTTTATACTAAAACCCGAATTTATAGTCTTCTCCTTCCCCTCCTTGATTTCTCCAGGAAGTCTCAGGGTAATACCACTCGGGTGGTGGTGGATTCCCCCACTGGTTGGGGAAGCCATTAGGATCCATGATTCAGATCTGCACCAACAAAAACAAAAAAAACACCCAAGTGAAAAGCAAGGGTGGAAAAGAAAAACAACAGAAAGAAAAGCTAAATTAACAAACTTCTGCCTTTCCTAATAATCTAGAAAGTCCCTGGCAACGACGCCAAAAACTTGACTCGCTATGACACAACTCCTAACAAAGGCCAAGTGTAACCAATGAAAGGGACTACAGTATAGTGGCTCAAGTAATAAATATCAAATCCACGGGTCTCTAGAGTTACTATTACTCAACTTCAGTTCATTACCTAGCAAACCATATTAAGATAGAACAACTAAAACTACTCTAGCAAACTACAATTAAAGTTAATCTAATTACAGGTTGGGAACTCACTTAGGTATGATTACCCCTAGCCACTAGCGAGATTAATGATTGATGATCTCTAACATGTTTCACTTTCATTCACAATGAGGAGAATCCTTAACTAGACCTTGAGTCTCGATTAAAGGAACAAGGCCCTCAGTCAATTGCCTACAGGGACGTATCCTTCTCTAGAACAACCGATCAAGGCGTTCTAATGAGGGGAGAATGGGTATGTACTTGGTTTTGGGTTTTGCTGCCCGGAAATGGGGGAGATGGCCAAAAACCGTCAGAATTTTGCGGTTTTCAGGAGAGATTTGAATTTTCCAGCGAGTTTTGGGTCATGAATTGAGGAGTCAACGTTCATGCCCCTTTTATAGGCGAGTCTTGCAGTTCACGAACGCGTTTTCCAGTTCACTGTCTTAGAGATCGTAAACTCTGCAATCCATCCGTGAAAGTGTCTGGTCCACGGACGTATTTGCTTGTACACGATCTTGTAAGACCGTGAACTTGGCAATCCGTCTGTGAACATCAGTGAAAACACGACACTTCTGAAAAAAATTTGACTCGACCTAATCCACTGTGCCTTCTATCGATCACGACACAACCTCAAAATGCACAACCAAAAAATGTGGCACGGGGATACCACTCGACCACTAGAACTTTTTAGTTGACACACAAAAACAAAATTAAGGAAAAGAAAACAAACCTACGTTGGGTTGCCTCACAACAAGCACTAAGTTAATGTCACTAGTTTGACGTTGCGGATCTATCATGTTTTGGAACCGAGAGTGGATCCGCCACGTTCTCGTGGTGAGGCATGTTGCCTCCCTACTTAAGCTCCATCGGATGCCCTTCTAAACCGATCACTTTTTCCTTGCCCTTTTCCTTCCACCGGGCATTAACACGACTTAACCTTTGCCTCCAAGCTACCTTCTTCCTTCCTGCCTTTGGCGAGATGCTCTCCTTGCTTTCCTGCTTCAAACCATAACAAGAACTAACAGTAATAGTGGGGTTCGCTTTGCAAGGCTTCCCTCCACTTGCATTCATATCACCTGGTTCAACTTCCTTCA